AAAAAGACCTTTTGCGACTTATGCTCTCCTAATACAAATTTTCAGATTTAACAAAATTTTCAGTTTTGCGTCATAAACGAGGGATGGTCAAAAAGTTATGGAACAATCAAATTTCAAAAAACTTGAATTTTCCATTACTTTTCGACTAACCCTCGTATTTGGCTCAAAACTGAAAATTTTCATAAATTTCAACATTTGTATTAGGAGAGCATAAGTTGCATCGGGTCTTTTCAAAAAACAACTTTGAATTTTCCATTACATTTCGACTAACCCTCGTATTTGGCTCAAAAATGAAAATTTTCATAAATTTCAACATTTGTATTAGGAGAGCATAAGTTGCATCGGATCTTTTTCCATTACTTTCTGACTAACCCTCGTATTTTAATCAAAACCTAAGTGATTGCAGCGCCATCTAGTGGTACGCTCTTGAACTCCAATAGTTCGACGATTTGTCACAAGAGGCACCACCGTCGCAGCCCCCTGGCGGCAAATCGATGAACTAAGCAGTTCAGTCATCCCCCGCTAGAGGGCGCTGCAATCTCTTAGGTTCCGAGAATATAAATGAATACTGATCTAGGGTTATCCAAGGTCACACATTTAACTTATTTATTTTACTTTGTTTTAAATGTATTGAACAACTACTACACAGGTTAAACACGCAAATGATAAAACAATAATGAGTTAATATTTATTTATGTAGACAAAAATTACATCTATTACAACGATATTTATTCCAAACAACTGTATAATAAATAATAAAAACTAAATATAATATATTGACTAATAAAAGTTACAACACAAAATATCTGAAAGAGAAAGACAAGAAAACGAATGGAATTTCAAAGAAAATACAAAAAAGAATGTTATTTATTTATAAACTGTCATATTATTATTTAAACACATGATTAGGGAGGAAAAGTCCCCCTGTGTGGCCTCCACATCTCCCCTTATAGCCACCCTATCCACCCAAACGAATATTAATTAACAAATATTTAATTTAGTTTTAACAGTTATACCAAAAAATCAATTTAAAAACATTTTAAATATCAACCCAAGTTGCAATTACATAATATAACAGTTCATAAAGTAATAAACAAAATACCTGTAAAAGAAAGACAAGAAAATACATGAAATTTCAAAGAAAATACAATAAAAAAGAAAATGATGTCTTCGTTCTTCTTAGGAAATACGTCATTATCTGAAAGCAAATAGTGCAAAATTAACAGGACTAACGGCAAATACTAATAGTTTTGGTAGAGAAGATCGGACAGATTTCGCCAAGGCAAGCTGGGCAGTCGCCTATTGCTCCTATTCCAGATAACCCACTGTACCCTGTCTGAAAGGAAGTAACGCTAGAGTAGACTCGCGAAAAGTGTATAAGACACTTTTAAGATCAACTAAATAGCTAAGCCCAAGGGAAGTCGTTCGGGGAGGCCCTCCCTAGTTCCACAAGGGTGAGAAGGAAGACACACGATAACGAAACATTGAATCATGTAGAAGACGTAGGGTAAATGCAAAGCAATTTAAAGTAAGAATATGCAGTAAGCTAAGCGAAGAGGTAAGCAAGAGACATGTTAGACAACTTCTACTAAACAAAAGTTAGAACATCTACAAACAAAAATTAACTCAAATAAAATAAACTATAATGAGCATGCAAAACAATAATTAATTCAAATGAAAATGAACTTAAAAAAAATAATTCTATTAGATATAACATGCAAGTTAAGGAATTTTCTAACTACGGGATCTTCCTTGTCTTCTCCATCGTCGATCTGAAACAGATAGGGTGGTAACATATTAATAATGAGCAATTTATAATAATTATATCACGTATTCTCACCTTAATTAACTATCGAAAGTAAAGTTCCAAAGTTTACTAGTGTGATGAGCAAACCAAATCCAGAAACAATACCATTGCTGACAATTTGCTGTTTCAGTGGTTTTTGAAGTAATGTCCGGTTACCTCCCTCTTACAGGTCGATAATTAACTGCATAATGTTGAATTGTGGAGACTCCAAAAAAAAAAACAATACCTTTGTATTCATTGGTTGTTTCAGCAGCATCTGTATTAACTTTAATTCTCTACCATTTGTTACGACAATCTGTAGAAATGGGTAAGAAAAAGTAATTAATTACCACTTTTAATTAAAGCAACCAAATCAAGAATAAATTTAAAATAAATGCTTTATCACTTGTAACAAGTTAACTTCCACACTGCTGCAAAGAAGGGTTTCACATTAATTCTGCTAACATTTCTGAAACGATGGTTAAACGTTGTTTAATGAAAGTAGGTTACAAATGTCTCAGAAATTGAGATTTCTAGCACCTCATCTACTATTTTTCATTGATACTGTTACTTACCAATTGATTGTCATAAATCCTTCCTTTAACAATAACATGCGGTCTTTAGTCCCAATGGAAAAAGGGCTCTTTCATTTTTTCTTAGTGACATTAGATACTGCTACTTTCTGGAGCCAAGGAGGATTGAGACAACCAATGCTTCGTAACACATGGCGGTCGAAGTTTTTATGCTGTTTCTGTAACAAAATCTTATGAAAGAGTATTCAGATATAAGTAATTTAACATCCCTAGTAAAAAAAACACGCATAATACAATGATTAAGTAATTCTGGACCTTCTTCTCTGTTAATATTAAATAAAAAACTATATATATTATGGCATTCATTCTCACCTTAATTAACTACAAGATTCTCTGAGGTAAATTTTAACAGCTAGAACACTGTAGTAGAAAACCTTGTTTTTTTAGTAGAATCAAAATGAAGTCAATATCCTCTCTCATATATCTTCAATCTGTAGAAATGAAGAAGAAAAACGAATTAAATATACTATTAAATAAATGAATCATGAAATACAATAAAAATGCACAGAAAATCAAGCAAAATTATAAGTTCTAAAATGGCGACGTGAAGCCGTTTACGAGACAAAATGTCTTAACATCACGCAAGATGCACAAAAATTAGATCCATAGATAATAGATATACAAAGGGTAAGATCTATGTTATAAATATATCCATAGATTAATTATATCCGCTGTATGTCAATGTAAGCTCTGGATATTCTCTATGGTGAACAAGAAAAAAAATTATAGAACATAGAAGGGAAAACAAAATATCAACTTAAAAATAAAAACATTAATTATTTTACGTTGAAATTATACATCAACTTTGTTGAAATTTAATATTTAAAATAACTTAAAAAAGTCTTAACATTTGTTCTTCGACACCTCACAATTTGAATCTCACTATCGACAATGATTTTACTGGAACATACCACACATCATCTCCACGAACTCAAACTCGAGCAAAAAATTCACAAAAATACATGTACATCTACAAAAAATTAGCTTTGAAATTAATTTATCCTAAGTATTAATACAATTAAAAACAAAAAATAAATGGCATTAATGCATATGGCTTAAAAAGCTAAGTATTTTGTAGTTAAAAATAACAAAGATAAAATAAATAAAGAACAGAAAACTAAAAACTCATTGCTTTGTTCATATTGTAACTACATGCAAACTAAGAAAAAAGAGGGGGTGCACTTTTTTCATCCTAAACAATAGCTATTTTTGTTTAATCGTATTAAGCATTTCCTCGAGTATTACTACTTTATTACATTTTTACATTCTTATCTTCCTTAACAAAATTTATTTGAAAAATAAACAGAACAATTTTTCCAAATAAAGCTATTAAAGTTTTTTGCCCGCATTCTTTTACTATAAAAAACTATCAGAAATTGTATTAAAAATCGTAATGTACAGTACACAACGTAAAAATACCCACATTACACAAATATGTAAAACAAAAACATTCATTTACATCAACAATATTTAGTGTTATGAAATTATACTTACAACTAATTATTTTCTCATACTACCATGCATTAATTTAAGTAGATTATTTTATTACAATCAAAAAATTTAGTTTCGTACAAATTTTGGACTACCGCTGTAGCATTACTATTTTTATCTAGATTACAGCGCACTCTTTTAGTTCATAATTTGAATTTAAAATAGTTTTAAATAAGTATTGCTTGCCCTTCACATAGGCAACCCACTGTACTGTCATGTATTCTCATAATCAGTGCAACTTGAGAGTATTAATTCCTTTAGCACGGATTCCGTTTTCGAAGAGGGTTCAAAATATTCATTATAAAAACTTTGTCTTGCGTTTACGCACAACTATTTATTACATTTTGATACTTTCAGTTCTTTTCTAACATTCGGTAACTGAAGATTCAGAACTTTAATTCATTGTGGTTCTTGCTCTTGGTTTACTAAGAGAGAAATTGATTTATCAAGAAATAATCTGTTTTTATATGTTGAGGGTTTAAAGTTCACCCCAATAAATTCCAACCATAACATTCTTTGATCCCTGTTTCTTACACTATGAACAACATTAATATACTTTGACACTGCCAGTTCATTTAATAAGGGAGAATTTAATTTTAAATTTAAAGAAAAAGTAAAAAAATGAATCCTACCTTTTTATTTGTACTGTCAATGGTTTAGAAAGAAGAATTATGGAATATTAACACTGTAGTGCTCACTTCCATACTAAACAATCCAAAACACTGAGTGACAGGAAACTGTGACGAATACTTCAAAGTACTAAAATCAATAATTTTATGTTATAATCAATAAAAATTAATTAAAAAAGAATGTTAAATAAAGCTTTACCTTTCTATACCATAGTCCAAAATATTCTTGGTACAGTGGCTTGTAAGGACTTTTCTGTTGTAGGCAAATTGTTGCGAATGCTGAAACAAAAAGAATATTGTTTATAGTCTAAGATAAATGAAAAAGCAATATAATTCACGCCTCGAGTTTCGTGAAATGTGAAACACGAAATGGGAATAGCTACTTTAATTGAGCAATACATCACTGAGTGAAATTATCTGGAAACTTGCCAGTGTTATTAGTTTATACCAGAAGCATTTCCAACAGGGTGTCACTAAAACTATACTTATCCATCTAGTCATTTACTCTACTCTTTTTTAGCCATATAAACAGTAATAATTTACAGAGTCTCATAAACTTATAAAGTTAACCTATCACTGCTTTACACTTTTTTATTATTAAATTATCTAAAGCATTCTTGAGTGTAGATATTGCACCCTGATCTGTCATTGATAAAACGAATTCTATTGTTTCAGTGTAAATTATTAAATTACTTTTTAAATGCCCCAATTACAACAAAATAATTTAAAAATTACCTAAAAGCTACCCCTATGACAGCTAGTCTTCGTAGCAATTTTTAAGGTTAGAATTTTTTGATACGATGGCGGATTTGTATGCAGTTAAATAAGGATTACTGTACTATCTGTATATTGTGTTTTGAAATCATATCTTTTATCTGTCTATTGTACATATATTAAATGTTTTTATTGAACAGACGGAATTCGCATACGTAAGATTCCCACTTTAAAATGGTTAATAGATATTTGTATTTTATCATAAGATTAAATTTAAATGCATAGTGACCCGTCCGCTGATGCTATTTATAACGTCACTGTAGCATACGGTTGTGTATACCATGGCTAATCTACTAATTTTTGTACATTTACCATGTCTAATCTATTAACTATTGTCCAGTGTTCTTTTGATATAGTTTAAGAACGAAAAGGTCTTTTTACTACAAAAGTATAAACAAATAGAAGTAAGAAAGACTTGGATGTTTCAATAAAACATCAAGCTGACTGATATATTTATTTATATAATTTTTTTCAGCAATAACTAGATTATTATACAATATAAACAAATAACTATACAGCCTTTTCTCACTTGTTATCGTTTTGTTTGTCTTCTTTTGTTATGTTTGCCTTTTCTACAATGAAAAAAAAAAAACAAGAAAAAAGAGAAACGATATTTTTGTTTTGTTTTCCTTTTTTGTATATAAAAAAATTTAAACAGTACCTGAAAGGGATCCAAAATATTCAAGCTGCTGTTTGCGGTGGGCTTCGAGGAGTGCATTGACTTCAGCCTTTTGTCGATTAAGCATTTCTAAGTAGGATTCATTCTAAAACGAAAGAAACACCCGAATTATTTTTTAGTTTGTCGTTTTCCTAATAAAAAAAATCTCATTTTTTTTACAGAAGCAAACGGAAGCTACACAATAAAAAAAGTTACAACTAGCGATTGCTTATCTACCCTTAATTATTAATTAAATATTTTTTACGGAGGATTAGTAACGCACTAAAAGCCATAACATATTATGTAGGATCTTAAAAAACATACAGTGTGTCCCAAAAACGAAATATTCGTTCTATTAACATTTGTGAGTGTTCAGTTGAAATTGAAACTAAATAATGAATAAATTAATGGATAATTTTTGGGATCCGCACTGCATGAACTACATTTACTTACTATTCGGTAATACATTCGGTCTTATAGCTTATTAGTAACATAAATACGACACAATAAATAATTAATTAATTAATGTTAATTAATAATTAATATCTATATACAGCCGTTAAATGTTTTTAAAATTCTTTTAACAAAAATGTATATGTATATGAATCTATTACTCTGTTAGTAGTACGAAACAAACCAAATAAAAATTATTCAGTCTTAGGTTTAGGGAAAAGGCGATTTATTTATAATTTGTAATTTAATTTTTGAGTTAAATGAATTCTTATTGTTTAAAGGTTACTTGTGCTTTGAAAATTTCATTAAATACTTGTGAATAACCAAATAAAGAAAAAGGTTTCTTCTTTTGTGCTAAATGATTTTTTTTCTGTCCAGGAAAATATAAAAAAAATTTGGTTCAAAAACCAGGGAATTTTTGCTGGTTAGCTCCTTGCCGCCGAGATATGCAATAAGGAACTTCGTTCCAATAAAGTTTTAGCATGTTCCCTTTCCAACTATGAAACTACTCAAATACTTAAACAAATTAGTTTTTTAAAATTTACAGAAAACTACACCAGAAATTCTAAACCTTTTCAACATTTAGACAATTTTGTGTATAATATATTGTTATGTACAGGGTGTTTTCTGGATACCGCAATTTTTCCAGTCACCTCTTTCTGAAATTACATAAACAAATCAACCTGTTGATGTTAGTCAGAAAACACCCTGCGATCAGTAAACAAACTCTCAGGATACCACATGGTTATTAGTTACTAAATTACATGTAATATAAAAAATTAACTACAGCGGGTGTTATGACTGTGTACAACCTAGCCGAGATTACAAATTAATTTACAAATGTACAATATTGTACGTACGAAAGCGAGACAACAACAAAAGATAACGACAACAAACAAATACATTAACGATAGTCGAGACCACTTTGNGCGGTCGTTATTTCTGCTATTTCCCAAACAAACAATAATAATTAGATATATATATATATAAAAGAGAAATAAAAAAAAAACCAGCCGCTGGTTTTTCCCACCACCAGTGTGTCAGTTATTACAAAAAAGGAAAATAGATACTGAAATGAGGAAGAAACAACATGACGTTTATTATTTGCTCTCTTACCGTATTGGTGTGATATGTTTCCAAGTAATCGAAAATTGGCACCGTTGCGGCGGCGCAGAGTCCCTCCCGGTTGCCGCAGCAGCACGTTTTCGCAATCAACTTTTGTCCGAACATCGTTTGGTAATAAGTATTAGTTGCTGGTAACGAGGAGGAGGAGGTTGCCACGCGAAAGTAACTATCATTGTCACTGCTTAAAACGGGGGCGGTGTAACGATGGAAATAATACGGAATATGATAATGATGATGATGAGACGTGACGAGGGGCGCAGGAGGAGTGCGATTATGATTATGATGTTGATTGTGGTAATAAGCGTCTAATAGTGATCTGCGCGGGGAATGTTGTTGTGACGTTTTATTGCCGCCCCCCAAGACTTGGCCGTCGTCCTCGTGGTCGGGGGGAAGCAAGAGACTAGCATAAGACTCGTCGTAATCGTAATCATAATCATAATCGTCGTCGTTATCATTGTCGTCATAGTAACGGTCACGAGTCTTTTTCGACGACGTCCGCATGTTTAAGTAACAGATGTTCTCGTTGATCACGTCCAAACTGTTGGATTTGGTCATCATGGTCCTGTCGTGGCCGAAATCCTCCTCGAGACGTCTGTGCAGATTCTCCCCGGCGTGGATCGTGTGGTAGTTACCATCGTAGTGACGACTCGCTCGTCTGCCGTTCCCTTTTAACCCCACGGGCAGATTTTGCATGGATATCGACTGTTTAATCTTATATTTGAGGATATCCGTCGGAGACACGTCCATGTTCTTCCTGGCCACCGGCGGTTGTTGGTTATGATTCTGTTGTTGTTTCTTCTCCTTCTGATTATGATCATGATCATGTCTCATAGCTTTCCGTTTCGAGATCCAGCTCTTCTCCGACTTCTGCGAATTGCTCCGTTTGTAGTCGTGCGACAGTTTTCGCTTTTTCGGCCACTTGAACGCGCTCCGTTCCGAAGTGATAACGGGGGCGGTGAATGCCTTATTACACGTACATACTGCATCGCTACCTTCAGTCTTTTGTGGGGGTGCTATATGCGCCACGTCGTCCAGGTCAAAGAGCTCGCACGATTCGAAACTTTCGGCGCTCGAATTGGCGCTGTCGGGTCGTGGCGCGATCAGATACTGCCCGTCAGATGAGGTCAGCTCGCTCGTCTTCGACTGTGTCAGATCGGGACAGCTAAAGTTCAAGTCATCTAGCGCCATCTGATGTCGCAAAAAGGACGGAATGTTGGGCAAGCTACTCGTGATATTGTCCTCGATGGGGGGGTGGATCACGATGTCCGGAGAATCGCGCTCTTTAGACCGCACCAGCCCTTTACACTTGGGAAATAAGCTTTCAATAGCTTCTACGAGGTCATGATACGAATTCGCTTTCCTTATGGGATCCGAAGACTTCGTCCCTTTTGACTCGGAAGAAGAGAAGTTGGTGGCGCCTTCGCTCTTTGTTGGTTCGTAAAATGCGGGCGAGATAGAAGAAACCGCGGCCGAATTCTGAATTTTATCCGTGACCTTAGGGCGATCATACGTGTTAGTGGTCAATGTGTTAGTAAATAGTTTGACGTTTCGTCGTTGCTGTCGATGACGATGGGGAGAGGAGGCGGCAGAGGAGACGGCAACGGTGCCAATGTTTGTCGTCGAGTGATTGGTGTCAATCGCATGCGGCTACAAGAAAAATAAGTGTCTAACTACCAACTGCAGCAGACTAGAAAACAAAAACAAAAGACCGAATACTGCGAAGTAACAACATTAACCATAGCCTGCCGTGGAATAATGATGCGAAATTGTTCTATTTTTCAGATATATTATTTTTTATTATGTTGGTTATTGTTTTGCTTTACAGAAGCTCAATGAAATGCGCTGAATGTTTGCTGTTTGTTTTAATTGTTGTGTAGGCTTAGATGACTGAGAGTAATATGAAGACGGCCGGGGAAAACCCGAATACAATCATATACTTATTTGTTAATGTACACCGTTGTAAATGCAGTTAAGAACCATCTTACTAATTAAATACTTTAAATAGGTCCTTTTTTTATTGGTTGCTTCAGTACTTTAGTAAAAAAGAAAAATTATTTCATTACAGTAAGTACCCCAAAATTAAAAAAAAAAATGTTTCAAGAAATTTAAGTCGAGCTCTATTCAAAACGAATAATTAAAAGCAATTTATGAATATCTTTTGGGACACCTTGTACTTTCACTACCTACTGATTTATTAATCAATTTATTACCAGTCATAAAACTGTGGTTCATTCAAAAAAAAATTTTGATGTACATTAACTTACTGATAATGAAAGAAGAGCGTGAAGTGTTTATATAAATATCACTTCAATTCTACCACTCATTATAATGAAAACCTTATAAGTAAATTGCAATATAAGAAACAAACGAGTTATAAATTATAAAAAAAAAAAATTAAACCCGAAAAAGAATAAAGCTGCACACAAAGTGTTAGTAGTAGAAAAAAAGTAAGTAAAACAAATCAAGTAGAGAAGTAACGACAAAGTGTGTCTGTACTCACATTTGCAGTGGGAATTTTACCGGTAGCTTCAACTGAAAGAAAAAGCACCTCATATTACAAATCTGTGCAATTAAAAAGCAATAAGGAAAAGTTTAGGAATTAATAATAACTTTTCTTGGCTACTTTCTCCGAATTGTTGCACTGTCATACTTATTTTGATCAAAAAATTCAACATTTAGCTTATATTTTTTAACAGTGACAATTTTTACGTATTTTGTGCCTTTCAGGCAAGACACTTGTGCATATTTTCCCATATTATTATCATTATTTTAAAGTAAAAGTGGAATTTGCATCAGAAATTGCAATTCTGCAAACTGTAACTGTAATCCAAGTTTGTAATTAGGGCACTTTTAACTTACTATAGCGTAACTTTTCAAAAAAGGTTGGCAACATTGTAAAAGTCAACTTCATAGAGGATGTCGTATACTTCACACACGCCCATTATTTGATATTATACATGGATTAAGATATCAGACTAGATTACGATTATATTCCCTCATTTACAATTATTAGACAAAAATTTATACAATTTCCCTGACTTTTAGAGACGCAAACAGTGGAAATCTTGTCTTAGAACCCCCCCCCCTCTCTTCGCAAGGATTCGCGCTTACCTTTTCGGTAAGAAACCCTGAAAATAAAAACAAATACTCACGGGTTTGACTATAAGTTGCAATATTCTTCTCTAAATTCTCGAAAGTACTATTAATAATATCACCGATCTCAGTCTCCATCTTTTTGACTACTGTTTTCTCAATCGTCTCCTGTTCTTCCTCTACCTTCTTCTTATCAGCCGGAACGGTCAGTTTGGTCACGTCCGGTTCCGTCACCACACTGACCTTAAACCGAGATACTTTCCGTTCTTTCTTCGTCTCAACGGGGGCGCCAACGACAGCATTTTCGTTCGAAACGTCGCTACCCTTTTCCCTCTTCAACGATTCAAATGTGCCGCCCACTGTCGATTCTTGCGCTTTCGGCTGTTCGATCAAACATTGACCTAGGAACGCACTGGGAGACATCTGCTGACCCTCCTTTTGTTGCTGACTAGTCACGTCCGTCATCTGCTTAACGGGACGATCGGAATACTGAAGATTCTCCACTGGGCCCCCAGATGGAGACAACATTGCACCGGTAGCGGTCGTTATTTCTGCTATTTCCTAGTTTTTGATATAAAAGAAAAAAGAGAGAATTAAGCAAACGTTACTGATAATGTGCAAAAATTCAAATATAAAATAGCCAAGTAATTTGCATTAGGTATACAGTCTATCAATAATTAATAAAACAAATATCTTATAAGTAATTACTGATTAACTAATTAATTTTTCGTTAAATACATTCAATCCGCTGTTATTGTTTATGCATAATGTATTGTAAATACTTATCGTCTTAATACATAATAACGACGTACCTTTAAAATATTTTTAGTAGTGTCCTGTTTTGCTAGGAGGTCGCAGGACGCGGTTAAAGTCGTGTGAGGACTCGAGGGACCNATAATCTTTAATATAAAAGTATTTTATTGAAGAATAAGGCAAAAATTTTCACTAAAAGTTTAATTTTAAAACATACATAAAAAAATGCAATTCGAACAATAATTTTCTGTTATTTTGTGGTACTATTGCAATCAGACGTTTCAAGGCCGAATTACGTAGAATAACAGAAAACAAAACTGCCATATATAGTTGATTCCGCGCTAAAAATTGGAACTCTGAAAAAGATCTTTCGCCACTTATGCTCTCCTAATACAAATTTTCAGATTTATCAAAATTTTCTGTTTTGCGTCATATACGAGGGCTGGTCAAAAAGTTATTGATTAATTTTCAAAAAACTTGAATTTTCCATTACTTTTCGACTCATCCTCGTATTTGGCTCAAAACTGAAAATTTTCATAAATTTCAACATTTGTATTAGGAGAGCATAAGTTGCATCGGGTCTTTTCAAAAAACAACTTTGAATTTTCCATTACATTTCGACTAACCCTCGTATTTGGCTCAAAAATGAAAATTTTCATAAATTTCAACATTTGTATTAGGAGAGCATAAGTTGCATCGG